AAATAATTTACTTGGTTTTTCAGTTCTATTTGTATTTCTCAGGTAGGCTTTGTTTCCACTCCTGAACTTTGGAAACCAAATGCTTCTATTAACGTACCAAAGTGCCACTACATGAGAACTGCAAGATCTCACCTGCAGCAATTTTTATTTCTTTAGAAGCATAGAACAGGCCCTGCACTACAGAAACATCCCACTCCTCCAAACCCCGAGTGTCAAGTTGGCAAGTTATGCAAATACCAGTTATTTTAGAAAATGGGATGAGGAAGCAGCTATTCAGGAAGTTTAAATTGAGATATTGAGTACCACAGAAAGAGAGAAGAACCGGAGTTAAACCATCTTCTGATGTGACATGCTTTGAGACGTTATCTGCCACCGTTCACTGGGAGCATCTTGCCCTGCAGTTAGGACTAACTTCCTGTATTTCATCCCTTGTATTCCCAGCACTGACACCCTCTGACACAGCGACGCTGCCGATACCTGCATGTCTCACACATTTCTATTATTAACCATATTCCAGTGTAATATTCCAGTGTAGTGTTCACTGTCACAGTTTTGGTCTAATTATTCGCTGTCAGGCTAATTTATATTTTCACTACTGAATAAATCAGCAATTTAAATAAACATTAAAAGTCACAATCGCTGCTTGAAGTACATAACATTTGACTCAGGACTCTCTTCTAGTGGAAGGAAATAGCATAAAAGCAATGTTTTCTTCCAACCAGAGGATAATACTCACTAATGGACACAATTGCTTCACTTCCATTCTTGCTATAACATTATGCTCAGTGTGCTGTCTAAACTGGTGAGCTCTAGTCACAGACCAACCTTCTCCCACATGCCAGGGTCTGAAGGAAGACCCCAGGTGCTGGAACCTTGTGCTCTAGCTACGCAGAAGGCCAGGACACTAAGGCACTCTTCACCATATGCTGAGCTAACCTACCAGCCTGTATGCTGCTCCTCAGAATCGTCTCATTTTCCCAGATGTTTTGGTCTAAGCCCGACTAGGACAATTTTCTTACAAGAGCATCAAGTATTTTTTAGTTTCTTGTTGGTTTCTGTATCACACTTACTGTCGAGAGACCCAACTATCACAGTTTCAAAATGCTGCTGCAAGATAAAAGAGTAGTAACAAAGATCCTGCAACAGGAGGGATCCAGAAGCTCGGAGAGCACCTGGCTGAGGAACCAGAGCTGGCTGCACAGCTTTCCAAGCAAAAGCACCATCTCTTTGCTTGAACAACTGCTTTGAGGCCAGTCCCTTCCTCTCCCAAAGTCCCCTTACATACCACACCATATATACCGTACCAGCCTCCGCCATTTTAATTAATGACGCAACACTGGACATATGACATCTACTATAACAGAAGCTCCAGCATCACTGTAGGGGAACCCCTAAGGTGCTCTTCTCTTTACAAGAATTTTGATGTCTATTTTTCAGTAGGTTTAGTACATCTCATAACAAGCTTTCTGTCTGCTTGCCCCAAAATCACATAACACAAACCTTTACAAATCTCAAACACAGCCCCTGACTCTAGCACTTAGAATTCAGGAGCTCTAAGAAGGAAATAAGTACCACTGAACTTACATATACCAATAGCATCTGAATAAATTGAAAGACAGATTGGAAGAAAACTCAAGAAGAATGTTTCTTTATAGCTTTTTGGTTTTAAATAGAGAAACCTCTATAAAATAACCTCCCACTCCTCCATCATCTGCTGTCTGTCGCTGGCAGACAGGCAGCACTCTGCTGCCCCCAGGCTCCTACCAAGCTAGAAAAGCAGCACATGTCAGTGTCCAGTCACAGATTTCAGCTCCAAAAAATCTTCCTTTTTTTTTTCCCCCAGCTAGGAGACTAACAGCCCTAACTAAACTAAACTCTACAGCTCACAGATTAAAAAGACTCCATCACAAAGCATACAAAGTACAAGACATAAGCACTTCCAAAGCCATACCAACTTGCTTGCATAGCGTGCCTACAAACACAGAGGAGACTTTAAAAAACATTCACTCACATTTTCTCAAAGGTTTTGCATCACTCCCTGCTGGTCAGTTGAACTCTTCTGCAGCTTTCCTCTCATCAACTCCCACTCAGCTACTGAAAAACAGGTCACAGCAGATCTTATCGTCAAACAAGCGACTGCCAGGTGGCTATTTGGTGTGGCCCTAACCAGGTGAGCAGCCTCACCCAAAAAAATTCTGGAGAAAATTAGCTCACCTGGCTGCTACCTATAGCAAATCTATTCTTAAAGATGACCTGGCTTACACTTGGGACCTTTGTTGACATGATCAGGAAGGTAAGGAAGGCTACTGGGGCAAAACAAACAGCAGTTGCCTTGTACAATGGCTCCTGTCACACCAGAGATCCGCTTGTGGATGCCTCTTCTTGTTACAGGAGTTGTAACAGCAAAGTAATTTTCATGATACCTTGTACCCATGGCCCTGCAGGTGGGGTGTGGAGCAAAGCCAGCAAGCCCTTTTAAGATAAAGAAACCTTCTTCATCTGTGATCTGTGCATTTCTAGGGGTGCGTGGAAGACTGCTAATAGGCTTAAATGCATTTTACCATGGCGGACACCTAAAAGAGAAGTATTTTAGGGATCTGCAAACTTAAAGGAGGTCAACTGTCTGCTTAAGGATGTTAAACCTCAGAGCTGAAGACTTCTGTGATGACTTACTCAGCTGCCAGGCATTACTATAAAGCACCCTGCTCTGGCTGTGGCATCTTAAGGTAAAACAAAGTCATGTCCTTCAAAATGGTGATTATGGCTTCAAATGAGTATCATTATTTGATACACACGTGAACCAATCCACATAGACTCATCTGCAGAAAGGCTATATTGCTTTTTCATAGTGCTATATGTAGCCTACATATGGCTAAATTATAAAGGAGAGAACTCTACTCCCAACAAAAGAAAAAAAAAGTCACCAGTAAACTGAGACAAGGGATGTATGAGGGGTGCTCAGAAATTAACAGCCATGTTTTGCAAATTAACTTTATATACAAACAAATAGATGGTAAGTTTCAAAAATATAATTCCCTGAATAGAGCACATCTATGTCTGTCCTGTCACTGCCGTGGTTTTGAGGCTGGCATCTCAGCTTACATTCTAATATTTAAAGCCTTAAAAGCACACCCACCGAGCAAAGCACAGACGGGTCATAACATATCTGGGGGTCTTAAAAAGTTGTAACAACCGTTGTCACCAAACGTGAGCGTAGCAGGGAACATGATTTAATGAAATGGGGTAGCATGAGAGAAGCTCATGTGGGTTGCTTGTTGCAGCTGGAATTAAACATGTCTGAGTGTTAAACAAAACCAGGCCTGGAAACAACAAATGGTTTTGTTCTGAAACCTGGTGTTGAAGATCCAAAGTCATTTGTCTACGTAATAAAACACAATCACCTACTTTTCCCTCTAGCATGACTTTAATAGTTAAAAATCAAATCTGTGCAGAGTGTACTTTATTTGTTCACATTACCTATTTGTGGTTAAAAACCACATCATCTGACAGTTTAAAAGCATTCTTTTAAAACAAAAGAATTAAACATAGCTTCTGCTAAAAAATCTGCAAGTTACATGAATGCAATATACAGGAGTATAAAAAAAATCAACAGTATTCTACAGAAAATATTCTCAAAACAGCAAATAAAGATTAGGCATGTAGGCATGATCCTGAACCGAACAAATATCAATTAAAAAACAGCTAACAAAATTAAAAAAAAAATAATCCTGAATATCTGTATAAAAGAAGCAAGGATTCAAAGTGCAGGTGCTCCAGTTTTCATTTTAACATATTATTCAGTAAGTTGATACAGGATACTATTCATTTTATATAAAGTGACAGTGTTCTCAGTAAGACTTAAACATTCAGTTACATTATCTTGCAGATTTTTTTCATTACTGCTACTTTACACTGTTGTAAATGAAGACTTATGCAATACAGGTTTTTATTTTCTTAATCTAACAAGGATATAATAGGTTGGTGGTAAAGGTTAGTTTTAAGAGCTAAGCTATATATGCTGTAAATCCAGCCTTAGAAGTGTATATATATATATATTTTTTTTTTTTTTTTAACTTTTAAAAACAGCTTTCAATTTTTAAAAAGAGATTCTACCAATCTGCTCTGGGACCTGCATATGCTGTCTTTGGAGCAGACCAGCAAAGCTTCCAAGTCCACTGGTTGGGAACACAGCTCCAGGCAGGGTCATGCTGGAGACCTTTCCTTGGTGGCCACAGCTGGGAAAGGGCTTTTCTCTCTGCCGGGTTTGGCGCAGCCAGAGGAAAGGCAAAACCCAGGGAAAGGCAAATGGGCTCTGCCTTCTGTCGGAGCAGAAATCATCACGTCTAACTGCATATGCCTGATGTGCCAGCTCGGCTTGAGGTGGACTTCTCGCTTTTATCTGAGCATACCAGTCTCAGACAGAGGAAGTTAGGAGCCAGGCAGGTGTCACTGAATTGATCTTTTATAGATTCAGAAAAATAAAATTGAATCATATGTTAAAACACTTTATCCTCTTTGGGAAAAAAAAAAAGTTATATGAAATAAAATTATCCTTCAGGGATGTTGCCTGGAACTTAATTTCACCTGCAGTCCTATTCAGGTTGGGAGTGTCCCTTTAAATTTTACATACTTCTTGTTTTGTTCATTTTTCCCCCCAAGAATCAGATTTCTATATATGTCTATTTTAAAAATGCACATAAATATTGGCATTAAGTTTACATTTAGAAATTAAGAACTAATCTTTACCATTTTATATCGACAGCAAGGTTAATAATACACACACTTCACTGACAACTGGGTTTTTTTTTCAGTATTTTGAATAAAATTTGCATTTGTGTAACATTTCCCACAGAAAGAGTGATTATACTTCAAGATAGTTAAGTTTGCACCCCAACATTTTCACATTAGTGAAAACAATCATGTTTTGAAAATACCAGGGCCTGTGCCAGGTACTAATAAATACAGAATAAAAAAAATAAATAAAAAAACCCGACTGCCTTTTATCCCGACATAGTAGAGATTTCATAGTCACTGGCCGAGGTTATTGGTTTGCCCATCATCCTTACGTTTTTAGCATTAGTAATCCTGGCCATCATGGACACAGGCTTGTCGAAGTACCTAACCAGCGCTGGCTCAGTCAAGAGGGAGGCTAAAAATTGTTCAAAGGTAATGGCCCAGTCTCTGTCAATGCTCGTGCTTCTGCGAAGAGAAGTGGTGTGGTTGCTCCGTACCAAAACGGTGTCTTCACCGATGTCCTCGCAGTGCAGCTTCTCTTCTTCATGTGAACCTGCACTCAGTACTGAGTAGGAGGACATCGAACTGTCATCTTTTGTATCGTCATCGGAAATGAGCATGGAAGAACCGGCTCCGTTGTCTCTGGGAGAAGAGTCTTCGAGCTTAATGTCTTCCATCTGCATGCCCAGGGTGCTGTCACTGCAAACAGCCTCCTCATCGTTGGTGACGAGGCTGCTTTGGAACGGCTTGTGCTGCTCGAGGGGGTACTGCTGGTGCTCCTTCTTCTGAAACAGCTCGCTCTGAATAGTTTTGCTGCAATTGTTACTGCTGCTGTCTGTCTCTTTCGTGGGCTGCACACTGAAGAGCTTACCAACCTCACCTATCTCCAAAAGCAAGCTTGTCACAGCAGCGGTCGCGTGGTACAGATCTTGTTCATTGGGGTCTTCACTAAACATATTGTACATTGTCTTGCACAGTTCAATGAATTGCCCCTAAACACAGAGGGAGGAAACATGAATGAGAGTGAAAAACAAATCAGACTGAGATCTACCAAATCAGTTTAAAAAGTTTGGAATGGAGGTATGATGCAACAGTTTATGCAATTAAACTGAAACTGGATATAATCTAGGTGCAGTCCAGAAAGCATTTTCTGTGACTGGGCAGCCAGATGTGTTGCCTCTCTCAAAGCTATTTAGAACAAACTGCTGGATGTTTCCTCCAACATATGACAAATTTATTTCTCTGCAGCCACAGGAGGGCAACAGAGGGTGAGCAGTGAGACACTTGGCATTCATTTTGGTGGATTTTCTTGTAGGAGTGATACTCAGTGTAACTAGGGGTCCGATAAAACTGATGAGAAGTAATAAAAAATGAAATAAGAGACCTGCAGCACTCTTTTAATTGACAGTGGTAACTTAGTTGGATGCAATTAAAAACTCACAAATTAAATAGGAAGGATATTTACTTAGGGCTGCCTTAAGTAAGAAGCATTGTTCCCAGGGAATAAACCTTCCCTATATGCTCTGGAGGAAACAGCTGTCCCAATGGGTCTCCTCCTCAGCAGCTATGGCTCTAAGGGGAATGAGACCGACAGTATAAATCACAAAATATAAAATACTTCTTTCAGGTAATGTGTATCAGACGTTGTGAGCTAACTGGTGATATTCAGTGTCATATCACCCTTTGTCTAGAAATCAGAATAATATGTTGTCATTCCTAATGTGTGTGTCTTATTTTTAGTATGTTTTGGGAGCTAACGCCAGTTACAGTATGTTGAAAACAACTAACTTCTGTAGTCAGCTGACTAGTGCTCCAGTAAAAGTATCTGCCTCAAAATAAAACCTTTATTCAGTGTTGATGTATTGCATATTTATAGGTATGTGAAGAAAGTTTAAAGTTAATGAAAAATAAGTGTCAGCAGAAGTACCTGATTCAGTTTGGGCAAGTCCTTTGTGTTTTTTGCTTTGGACTTATTCTCTTGGTTCCACATTCTCAGATAATTTCGATTCTCTTGTGAGCTCTTCTTGCCTATTGCAAACAAATTACCCAGAGATGCAGGAAAAGTCCATGACGAAACCTTATGTTAATACTTTTTTTTTCCATTTTCAAAAGCAGCATCTTTACAAGAAATGAAAGATGTAATTCAAATGGAGACACCATGCATACCTTTGTCTGTTTTCAGACTCACTGTAACAAACCCATCATCTACTCCTTGTTTGTTCCTGCTGTCTAGGCCAACAACTAGGAAGTGGAGGGGCAGGGGGAGAGAGAGATCAGTGTGGTTTTAGATACATACATAGTTTTCATGTGTACAGTGCAAAATAAAGAAAATGTTGACACTGCAGAAAACGCTGAGTAAAAAGGGTAGGACTAAATGAGGACTTTTGCTTATTCTTAAATCTGCTGACAAATTCCATATGATTAGTAATATAAATACTAAGACAGGGACCATATTAGGGTTGGTTTGTGTAGTGCAATGATTAGCCTGTGTCACCACAACACAAACAGCTTCCAGCATGATATATGTTTGGTGATTATATTAGTGCATCTTCTTTTGTCTATCAGGACTCAAAATTGCCATCTCTGGTTTACAACCTTCCTTCCCCCTGTAATCTGAAGGATGGGTGATATTTTTCTTGAATCAGAGAGAAACGTAACATCAAATATCTCCAGAAAGAGAATGCCATTTAAGACAACAGCAATGAGACCCAGGTTCTCATTAGGGCACAAAAAGATTTCAAACTGCTGAACTACATTTTGATGTATCTTTTGGCTTCCATTTTTTAGAATATTTTAAGTTCTGATCCAAGTATATCTGGAAAGCAAATATATTTATTCTCATTCTCCATCAAGGCATATATGCTGCACTTATCACAAAATTACTTCTATTGCAACATGCTGATGACATTATTCTGAGGGTACTTGTGCAATGCACAATCCAGGGGAGTTCTTAGTCTACACACACCTGCACTGCTAAGGATATCAAGGTATCTACAGAGACTACGTTCTTCTTTTTACAGAGAATACTTCACTTACGAAGTTCAATCTAATAAAAAAGTAGCTTCCTAAAAAGACATGATGTTTGAAATGTATTACCTCATCTTTTCATGCCTGAGACAAAAGATGCCTACCGTGTGTACATTCTGGTGTGATGTCTTCAAAAAAGTACTGAGTAGCTTCAAAAGCAGAGTCTGGCTCTTCTTGCTCAGGGGATGGATCTAAGCAATATAATAAAATTCGTTCATTAACAATTCCACCCTTTAATTAAAAACTAGAACACCTTTCAATTGATTCACTTAGAACATCAGTTTCTAGCAATAAAAGTGTGAGATTGTGATGGGTTAGGGATCATCTCTTTTCAGCTCACAGGAGATGAACAACTGGACCTGTACTGCCTCCTCCCTGATAGCCAATATTGTCTAACAAACAAGTAGCTGTTTGCCTTCAGAGGCCAGCTTGCCCATCTTCTCACATCTGCTTCCATTACTTTCTTCCATGCAGCTCAGCGTGTCCTAAGCAAGGTATGAACCCTTTCCTAGCTGGAGACAGTCTGTCATGATTTGCTATGAGCTTACTAGTCCCTGAATACCAGAAGCTGCAATCTTAAAAATGGGTGTCTTCTGTTATAGTTCAATAAAATTGTATTTTTTTTCCAGTTAAATTAGTGAATCACTCAAGCCTATCTCCAGCAAAGCCAGCTGGGAGCAATCAGGGACACATGTTCAAAGCACGTGAAGGCGAATGTCCTCTCAAAGCTTTTAGAGATCTTTACCAGAGGATGTAAATGTGCACAAGAATTAAACTACCCAAATAGTTGCAACATCCTTAAATCGCAGATTCAGTGAGGACAGCAATAGGCTCTTTATGGCACACGTGTGACAAGCCAGAGAGGACATAATTCCCAGATATCATTTTCTTCAGAGGCAAAACTGTTTTGAGACGTTTCCATTCCCTCTCCACCCTAAACTGCCTTTCTCACTAAGCTGAGTCCAACAGTTTGTACAGCTCCCTGGAAAACACATCTATGACATGATCTGGAGCTTCCCTCTCCAAACAGGTGTAACTGCCCAGAGGGGAAACCGCGAAGAAAGCCTGGGGACAGAAACGAGTAGCCAGGGCACGCAGGAACATTTTAAGCTAGCTTCACTGTTAAATAACGTGTGTTACAGTAACAAATGCTGAAGAACCCTGTATTTGTAATGCATGGAGGAAGTCACCAACCCCAGCTAAACAGGCAAGAGACAAATATAAATGGCCTGTTAGTGGCTGGAGCAATAGAGGGCTGGATGGGTGCTTTCAGACTTTCCAAATCCATGTCTGGTTATGGTAGAAAGTCTCTTATTGATAAACAATAAGATAAACAGCTACAGTAATTCCCAGAAATTAATTCTTAATTGGGAAACCTAGTCATAAACAACTCTGCTCCAAATTTCTGTTCTCAATAAGATGACAGCTATTCTAACGTCATTTACTTACCAGGCAAAACATGCATTTTATACAGTAGCTTCAGCTTCTCTGTGAGATCTCCATGGCATGCTGCACCTAAACAGCATTATATACAGTGTGTTAATACTTAGCATTCAATGCCATTCTGTTTATTATTGCTACAACATTTTGTTTTAGAAGTGGCTACATTCACTCTGGGAAGCACTGTACTCCCTTTACAGCCTGAGATCATAAGGCAGTCACTTGACTTCTAAGATCATACGGTCTGCTGCAGAAATAGAAGAGAACACAGACCACCTTACCCTGAACTTTGTACTTCAACCTTCATTAAATGTCTATTTTATAATACTCAAAAATAATCTATGATCATCATGTTACCACTCAGAAAGGCCTCCAGCTGAAAGTTAAGACCCTTTTATGTCAACTTCAAACTTTCTGATCTGAGAATCCAATAATAACATCACATGATTTAGAAGAATAAGATATTTACCAAAAAAAAAAAAAGAAAAAAAGAAAAAAGAAAAAAGAGAGAGAGAAATTCAAGTAAACAACACTTATCACAGCTTAGCCACACGCTAAGCTGATGTGCAGGCAATACTTTCTAGTGATTTATCCAACTCAACCCCTATTCCTTTCTGGTCTACACTACAATTAGCTATATGAAATCCAAGCAGTCTATTGTAGCCCCTCCTTCCAATTAATTAAATGGATATTAGCTAATTTTAAAGTACTGAAATAACTGATAATCAGACTTCATAAATTTGTTATAACAAATTCATAAATGAATTAACCTTCATTAATGAGGTCATGCAGAGATTTATTTTACCTTACAGACTACCTTATCAACTCTGCTATGCAAACTACAAAGTGTGGTTTGGCAAATACTAACAATCACAGTCTACTGTAAAGCTTAAGATTACAGTAAATACAGACATTGGGCCAAAGAATTGAGCACACTTACATTAGCCATTTTACTTTCAACTTAGTCCTTTTTAAACACAAAACCTCCTTATGTTCCTGTCTGGTGTACCAGACCGTGCAGACAACTCTTTCTCTTCTGGTGAAACTATGCCTTAGGTTATGCACCCAGGTACCACGTGAAGTGCCCCGCTGCTAAAGGTGACGTGAAATAACCAAAGCACAGGATGGGGTCCAGCAACGGCTACGGATGCATTCACCAAAATAGGATCCAGGGCACAGGATATCTGGTGATACATGGAGGCTTTTCCTCTCCCTGTCCCCAGATGTGAAGAGAACTGAAAAAGCTCAACCGTCTACTGCTTTTTGCCTGAGATGAATCTGTGTGTGCCTCCTAACGCCAGGCCCTTTTTCCCTCAAAACGTACGTGAATGAAGACAACACAATGCAGGACAAGTCTATCAAAGATGTTATTAGAGTCTCTCAGACACAACCCTCTGGGTCTCGCCCAGGAGAGGTCAGAAAGTTTTACCAAGGGAAGAACAGCCTACTGGCAAATGTGCAGGAGCTGCCTGACAGCTGCAGCGGGCTACCCAAGATCTGAGGATTGATAGAAAAAAACAATAAAAAAAAATTAGGCTACATTCATAAAGACAACAGAAGAAAGGAACTCTGGTAGATGTGCCCCTATTATGGAGAGTCAGGGAAGACCTTTGCGTGGGTGGATAGCTTAGCTCAGGCCACCATTTTGACCTGCATGCTGCAGTACAGGGATAATTTCACAAGAGAGCCCAGAGAATTCAGTGGCCTCCTGCATGGCCTCTGCACCTCTGAACAGCAAAGCAGATGACCCTGCTGAGGTCCTGCGAACAGCACTGGAGAGGTGGCATGACCATTCTTAGTCCCAACCAGAAATACTTCCTTCCTGGCATTCTGGAGTCACAGGGCCTAAAACCTTCAACAAATTTCAACAAGTCTTAGACAATGAACTGCCAGTTTTTATCCAGAAGTTTTAAATGTACTTCATGGTGAGAGAAGAAACTGTGCTTGGAAGACAGTGTGACTACACCCTTGGAATCTTTCTACCTAAAACAGGAACAGTGAAAGCTGTCACCTTCACACTGCAACCAGTCCTCACACACACCTGCTCTGACTACCACACCTCTTTTCATGGAATTACAAGGAATAACCTTCCCTGAGCCCCTGCTCTGACTGTTTTTCTGTCAACGCTATGCAGGTGTCAAAGTCTTTCCTGGCCATAACATCATATGCGCACAGTTTTCCCCCGTCTTCTTTGAGGCCATTAACAAAGTAATTAAACAGGTTAGAACTTTATTCTGTCAAAATAAAACTTAATAGTGATATAAAAGCATTGGCTTCAGTTGACGTTCCCTTGAACACAGGTGGGTGCAGAGGGTTTGTACAACATTTAGCTCCATGAAAGGATCGGAAAAGTGGTGAGGCTAACACTCTACTTTCTGAATATCCTCCGTTGCAGAGGGTTTGTACAACATTTAGCTCCATGAAAGGATCGGAAAAGTGGTGAGGCTAACACTCTACTTTCTGAATATCCTCCTGCAATCTGTGCTTGGAGAAAAGCTGTCCTCAGAAAAAAAAACAAAAAAAAACCAAAAAAACAAACCCAAACAAAAACCACTCAGGTACTCCTCGAGACAGAGTTTTCACAGTGCCAACTTTTACACGTGGCTGTGGCGAGTGCTGTAGTCAGCAGCAGTCACTGGAGATGTGGAAGAGCTGCATGCTCTGAGAAAGGGGCATTGCAAAAACATGATAGGAGGCGGGGGGCCACTGAGACTATGTGGAAATTTCTCTAGCTCACTGGGATCCTGAGTCAACAACTAACATGCTATAATCCAGTGTGGTATGAGGGAGCAGGTGGGCTGCTTCATGAATACCCCAAACACCTCATAAACCTTTTCTGAGCAGCACAACTCCTAGAGCAAGCTAAACAAGATCACTCCTTTATTTGAACTTACAGTAACACGACACAGAGTAAATGTACAGAAGAACATGCCAGGTTGTTCCATCTTTACTCAGCTGAGGCCCTAGAGGCACCTGAAGTAGGAGGTTCTTGAGCTATTTGCTGCAGGGGCTATGAAAGGAAATGGAGATTCCCAATTACGATTACAGCGCTCTCATATCCCAACAATTTAATGCTGACACAAAAAATGGGCCATGAGCCCACACAAGGGGACACAGCACACCTTTTTACCTCCTCTTCATGGAGCTCCTGGAAGGAGTCAGTAGCATCAAAGAGAGGCTTCGAGGGAACAAATCCTTATGGATACATGGAATAAGGCCATTGAAAGAGAGAGCTGTGAAATGGAGATGCTCCAGGTGCATTGGCCACTTGAGCCATCAACCACCACCCTCTGAGAACTACTTGAATAGGACGCTTCCTTTAGGAAAGCTAGACTTGAGTAACCAGGGCCAGAGTCCAATACTGCTGTTTGGACACAGTAAGGAGAGAGAGGTCACCTCCAGAATGCCCACCCTCTGACCACTCTTTCTGGATAGCCACAAGGAAAAGGTGACACAGGCCCCTGTTGAACAAATGCGTCTTGCTCCAACAGAAGATATTCCTCATTTAGGAGATTTTCCTAGCCAAGGCATATTGGGTTGGTGAGGCAGACTGAAGCAGCTGATATTTATGGAATGTTTAAAAGTCCTGGGGCATGGTAAAATATCCTCAAAAAAATCCCATGTTGTTTTTGCTGTGTTGTCCTTGCCATCATTCATATGCTTAAACAAAAAAGGGCTTGGGAGGGTTTTCTTTTTTTTAAAAAAAAAAAAAAGTTTTCAAGCTATGCCACGTTTGGCTTAGTTTCTGAAAAAAAAAGTGTGGTTTTGCAGAATGGGTAATTTTGATTGTTTAGCCCATTGAAGATTTTACTTCAGTCATGTTGGCTTATAGCCACATTTGTGCATTTTACATTCATTTCTGTTCACAGTGCTCACTGTTCCTTGTTCTTATTACTCATTATTGGTTCTAAAACATGCTGTCTCAAGCAATAACTGGTTGATTGTGATTAACAGCATCCTGTAAGCAGCAAGAGTAGTTTATCCATGGGTCATGTCTCAAAAGGCCATTAAGCGTTACCTGGTAAACAGTCCCTCAAATACAATTCAGAACTGCGTCATAGGAAGGACTGGTTTTTTGGGAGGTGCGAAGGGGAGATGTGCAATCAGTTTTACCGTCACATAGCTATTTTGCACTGTGAGAGAACAGGCGTTACCATTGCTGTACAGGGGGTTTAATGCAGGCTGCATTTGGAGCCCTAATGCTTAAAAATACGATTACAAAGAGCTGCTGAAAGCCAGATTGGGAAATCTTTTTCTCTCAAAAAGGATCAAAATGTAAAGCTGAAGGAAACATCAGGTTGCCATGAAATAACACATGCTAGATGGTGAGATGTTTGTCACTTACAGGGAATAATTCCTGCTATATTCAAAAAAGGAGGGGCTAGCTCCTGCCTCATCTTTGCTTCTCCATGTTAATCCTGGGGCTTGCACACTCCCTTTGTTGCAATATTGACTTTCATGTCTTGAAAGCTTGCCATTAACGACATTCAGCCTCCCTGTCTGACCTGCACCTCCACTTTCTCCTTTTCAGGTGACTTCCATCCTGCTCTCTCTCTCAGTCTGCCACCTTGGTTATTGATTTCAGAAGTAATATAGGTAGTACTTCTCACTGCATATATTCTGTGAGGTGAGATACCTTCCTCTCACACAGGGACACATATATGTGGGGTGCCAGCAGACTTCTATCAGTGGGAAGTGTAGTCCTGGCTTGTATCAGCAATAGTGTGGCCAGCAGGACCAGGGAAGTGATCGTCCCCCTGTACTCGGCACCGGTGAGGCTGCACCTCGAGTATTGGGTTCAGTTTTGGGCCCCTCACTACAAGAAAGACACTGAGGTGCTGGAGCATATCCAGAGAAGGGCAACACAGCTGGTGAAGGGTCTGGGGAACAGTTCTTACAAGGAGTGGCTGAGGGAACTGGGGTTGTTTAGCCTGGAGAAAAGGAGGCTGAGGGGAGACCTTATCGCTCTCTATAACTACCTGAACGCAGGTTGTAGTGAGGTGGGTGTTGGTCTCTTCTCCCAAGTAACAAGTGATAGGACAAGAGAAAATGGCCTCAAGTTGTGCCAGGGGAGGTTTAGATTGGATGTTAGGAAAAATTTCCTCACCGAAGCACTGGAACAGGCTGCCCAGGGAAGTGGTTGAGTTGCCATCCCTGGAGGTTTTTAAAGAGACGCGTAGATGTGGTGCTTAGGGACATGGTTTAGTGGTGGACTTGGCAGTGCTATGTTAACAGTTGTACTCAATGATCTTAAAGGTCTTTTCCAATCCAAACTATTCTATGACTCTAATTTTCAGGGAAAATTTAAGGAGTAGATAACAAAATGCAGTGTCACTGAGAGAGGAACACTACAGAACATACAGAAGACTTTCCCAAAGGAAATACTTAAATTAGAAGTAATCACACCATTAAGCACACAAGTTGCAGGTAATTTTTCACATTGAGAGTTAGCGGTTAGAGAAATCCTCAGATGCCAATGGATGTGTAGTTCATGTGTGGTCCTTCTCCCAGTGCGATACACCACTGGTTAATGTGGATGCTCCTACTGAGACCAGCATGAACCCCAGTGGGAACCAATGTGACAAGCATGATAAAATGAACAGTAGCATGAACAGCTCTTAAAACAAAGGTGACTTATGCAAATTGGTATATATCAAACTCATTATATCTGATAGCTAATATAACATCTGTGTTTCTGAAGGACTTGGGTCTCCTTTAGAAACAAACTGTTTTGGTCAGATTATTTTAAGCGTACTGTGAATTCTCCTTACTTAGCCCAGACACGAATTCACGGAAGTTGATGAGCAAGTCTCCATTTTCATCAAGAAGCCTGAATAAGCGCGCAGCTAATACATCTGAATGAGTTCCACACGCCCAAGGGAAGAGGAGAGCGAACATCCCTTTGAACTGCTCAAAGTCAATACGGTACTGCTCCAGATAAGGCAGGCTGGGATCATGCCGGTCAATAGCATTGCTGTTTCCTCCCCAGTAGCAGCTAGTCAGATGTTCTGCCTGAACAGAAGGCAAATGCTGTGAGATTGTCATCACCTCTGTAAACAATTTGTTGCTATCAATGATAAAAAAAAAAATCCAAACAACTCATACACATACATTATTAAAACAACACAAGACTAACAGATGTATTTCCATCTACCTAGCCCTTGCAATGCTGAAAGATGTTTCTCCTGTACCCACCATGGAAAGACATCCCTCTACAAAAGAAGATGAAGCAAAACTTTTTCTGGCAGATGAAACATGAAATACCTGTTTTGAACAGAGCAGTGAGCAGCTGTGACTTGCATATATACACTGGCTTGTTGTGCTTAGTCACCCCCTTCAACCTCATCACAGAGTCAAGTCAGAAAGGGGATGGACTCTTATGAAATCTTTAACTTCAGAGCATATGAAAATAGCTATTTATTTGAAATATTTTTTGTTGAACTGTATAGTCTCAAAAATAACATACAAAATCCTACTCTTTTTGTCTAAGTCAGTGAAAGTTCTGGAGCTAATTTTGGTGGAATCTAATTCAAAACGATTCAGAAGCTTAGAGAAAGAGATCCCAGCACTGCACAGTGATCCACTGGGGTGGATGTCTGACTCTGTCTCAATGATTCCATAGAAGACTGAAAAGAAGGCACTGCAGGATTTGGACAATTGTAAGACCTGACATTACAGATGGGAAATTGAGAGGAAAGAAATTCTTCATGGTATATCAAAAAAATCTCTGTTATAACAAAACAGAGGAATAAAATACCTTGTTTTAAGGCACTGTGCATGAAGGTGAAGCTAAAGCATTTTAACTGCTCACCTTTAAATTTGTGGATCTAATGGTATTGCTCTATAATCAACTTAGAAAGACACATCACTTTGTGACACTAAGTTTCCATGTAATACATTAAATCCTTAACAATGGCAAAAATCAGCTGTTACAATATGGAAGTATTAACTGTCTGAGATAATAGAATAAAGGTCTTTCTGTGCTAAATTCCAAAACTTGGGTCAGGTAGAGACATGTATATGTAAGTTTCTAAAGACTGATCAAAAGCCTCTATCTATTCGCTTTCTCATGATAATAGTTTTCATCCGTATATTCATTTTTTACCATGGACAAATAATTTAGTGAATTACTTATTTCCTGAGCTTTTAAAAACTGTTTGAGGTTTGGGTTTGGGGTTTTTTGTGTGTGTATTTCATAGCACAGCAGCTAATTCAATTTTGTATTAAGATACCTGACAGTAAGTAACTCACAGACTCAACCTTGGTCGTTAGACACAGTCCCATATCAAAAATAAACATTTGCATTTCCTGCAGGCACATGATCTTATCTTCACTTGGCTTTACCTTGAAAAGAGCGTACAGTTCCTCCAGTTCATCGATAGTAAAAGAAGTCTCTGTCACAATAGTTCGTACCTTTTGAAACATAATATTAAGAGTTTACGGATTTGAAATCCATGTCTAATTGAAAAGCTAACTTAAATTTCAGAAACTGACTGACCTTAATCTTTGCAAAGAACATTATTTCAAGTACTTACCACATTGCGTTTTGTAGTATCTTCAAGGGTTTGGATAACTTTCAGCCTTTGTTTGAATCTCATTTGTTCAATTAAATCTGCTCGGATACTTCCAAATTTCTTAAAAGAGAAGAGAAGTGCAGGATAGTCTGTGTATTAATATTTGGAATACTTAGCTTGCCTTTAATGTATTTGAGAAATTAATTTAATTATGTGACATACCATAAATGGTTTATTTAAAAAACTGCTGTTAAGGTATTTTTCTAACGCATGACAAAGTTATGAAGACTTCAGTAATATATAACTAGATTTTATTTTTCCCAATAACTTATTTTCATCTGATTCAGAAGATCTTTATTAAGTTACAAATCCTAACATTTCAAACCATAATCTCAGCAGTTAGAAATTTCTTGCTTGGCAAATCTCTATGAATAGATTGTTTCATAATTCCTTATGCAGGGTTTAATTTGAGCTTGTCCTGGAATATCTGTTAATTGCTACAAAGAGAGAAGATATTTAGACTAACTGGATCTCCAACAGCTGAGACAGTATAGCAGTCCTTATGTTCATGAAGATCTGATACCAAGCATCAAGAATGCAACTCCATTAGGAAGCAGATTCTCTAAAGTGCCCAAGTCTTATTTTCAGAAGGGTTTTTTGTTTGTTTGGTTGTTTTTTTTTACAATGCACATAACAGTCTCAGGGAGCTCCTGCATATACTACAGAAGCATCCTAGGGGAAAACCTCTTCGGAATAACAACACACAACTAATGGAGGAACGTAACAGTCATTGAGTAACAGAAGCCATGAAGTCTTATCTAGATATTTTACTATTGAATTGTTAAGGGTTTTTTTTGATAATCAAATCAACCAACAATGACGACTCTCCTGAAACTAATTCTCTCTTTGCAACCAACTCCTGCTTTCCTCACAGTTCTGCACTCCCCATCCCATTTGCTTTGCCTAATTATACTGGAGTACAGCTGACTATTTATCTAGAAGGAGCTACAAGGTTCTGTGCTGCATAAGCCCCAAAATGACAGACTGTCTCTGCATGGAGTCAGGTTATTCATCTAAAAGCAGTTAAGCCACTGCAAGCTGTCTTCATGATGAGGAAATCAGAAAAATACAAGGGAAATAGAATTTCACAGAACCATCCTTCTCACCATTCTAACATTGTGTGAAGGAGAAGAACAATACATCTAACTTGAGTCAGTTTGCCCTTCAGCATGGAACACACTAAGGACTACCTACTTCCTTGTTAAATACATATCATGTTACTAAAGCAAGGAGGTTTTAGGGACATAGGAAGTACCTCTGAAACAGCTGTCATATTGCCAAGTATGAACCTACATCTTGAACTAAAAATACTACTTTACCCTGTATGTCAACAGAAGGAAAAAAGGAAATTAAGACGAACAAGTATTGAAAGTTTTTCTTTATTTTTTATTAAAAAAAAATAATGTCAGTGTAATCATTAGGGGTATTTTAACTGATGGATTATTTTTAAAATTTAAGGGCAATGAAATTGGTTTGCAAATCTCAGGCTTCTTGTAGGCTTTGTACTGTGCTTTACAGATATTACCAGCTCCTTTCACCTGAAATATTGAAATTTTTTTTAGCGTTGGTGATAATACAGAAGCCAGTGGTCCATGGCCATAATCAGCACTTGCTAAAAAAAAACAAACCAAACAAACCAAAACAAAAACCAACCAACCAAAAAAACCAACCAAACAAAAAAACCCCCCAAAACCACCAAACCACAAAGGTAAAAAAACCAAAGTTCCACTGATAATAGAAAGGTCTTCTGAAATCATGTAGATTTCACTAATATTTCAGTTTGGAAAAGCATGAAAAAGCTTAGATAAGAATTAACCTTTTTTGAATTACAAGTTCAGCCTTTTGTTTGTAAATGACTTTTTGGTTGCGGGCTGCTCACCTTTGATGCTGCAGGCTTCTATACAAACAGCTCCAATTAAAAGCTTTGGTTAAAAGAAAAAGAAACACTAACGCTTCTCCCCTGACCCATATCAGACTTCTGAGATGAGTCTGTAATTTCTTTTATGTTCTTTCAGTTCCAAGCAAAGCCAGACTATAGAGTATCAAATTCGTCTGTAAAGCAGAACTAGTGTGGGTTGGCAAGTTCCTTTTAAGAAGTCCCATCCTACCTCATAGGAAGACTTGATCAGTCTGAAGATATCCACCTCAGGATAAGGCTCTACATCATCACTGAGCAGTGAGTGAAGATGAGGAATGGGTGGAAGAGTGCTGTCCTTATTAGTTACGCTGTCCAAATATCTGGTGAAAAAAAAAAAAAAAGCCCAAGATTCATTTGTACACCCTCCCTTCTGAGGGTTAACAGAATAAGGATTACATATTTACTATTAAATGTAAAAATGATCAAGCCACTCTCTACTAATGCAATAAATAATTTTTGACATCAGTCATTTGACAAATCCTAACACTGCTTTTTCTCAAAGAGGGCTGAGGTAAACCCTGGTAATTCATTACCCTTATCAACAAATAGCTCAAATATAGCCAGCCACAAATGAGGTTTGTTGCTTCTGGCTGTTTAAATATGCTAAGGGAATTATGACACCATGGGAACAAGGGTCTGTGTGCTTCAGCCTACATACCCTCTGTCCTACTACTGCCCAGCCTCGCTGCAAGGGGCTTTAAGGGCTTGTTTCTCACACCCATGCAGCCCCTGTAGATCATCTGTCTTCTACCCTCCAGCTGCAGAACACTTAAATCCTCAAGCACTAGGGCTTACTTCAGAGAAAACACAACCACGGTTGTCTTTAATTCCAAAGAAATTAAAAACAGACTTCAGTAAAGCTATGCTAATGAAACTTACTAGGAAAAAAATGT